AGGGGACGGACATGCCAGAACAGGATTATTGCACCCTCGAGCCTCAAGCAGAAAATATGACGAACGGCCACCTCCTCCTCCTCCTCCTCCTCCTCCTCCTCCTCCTGGAGGCGTCTTTCAAATCGTCCCCAGACTCCAGACTATGTTTCACTATTCCTGAGCGCTCGTCCTGCGGAGGAACATGCCCGGCCTGACCCCCCTGGAGGAGCGGAGGGCCCTTCCTTAACGGGCGAAGAACGGTATAAAATAAACTTGTTCGCCGTCGGGGACGCCTGTCCCTGGGCGGCTGGAAAGTTTATACCCCTACGGTGCCACCGTAAGGGTATAAACTTTCCAGGAGTATAAAGAGGAGGAGGAGGAGGAGGAGGAGGCTTCCCCCCATGGCGCCCAGGTCCCCGCTCCCCAGCGGTGCCTCCGCGCCGCCGTCGTCGTGGCCCAGGTTGCTGCGCTGAGACGGCAGCGTCTGCGCCAGGTCCCTCCTGTTGTCCTCGGAGGGGCCCAGGGACACACAAGCAAACGCACGCGCACGCACAAATCCCAGGATTTCCCCCCATGTGTTCAACATGTCCTGGATGTTCATCTTCCCCTACACTTCCCAGATGCTCCAGCATGGGAATCGACGATTGTTTGCACCCAGCATTTCGTAATATCATAAGCGGGAGTCACACTGGGGGGGGTCTGATTTGAGCGGCACTGCAGGGTTCCAAGACGGCGTGGGCAAAAGGCCGCCCTCTGATGGCTGGTCTGGGGGGTGTCTGAACTCGCTCTTCTAGGAGGGTTGTGACCCCGCTTGTATAAGGAATTGTTGAGTATCTGTGTGTGTGTGTCTGCTGTTCAATCTGAACTGGATGTTCATCTTCCCCTACACTTTTCAAATGTTCCATGTGCGCATGTGCATCGGCGATGGTTTGTATCTGTGCGAATCAAAGAACAAACGGCAGCACCCCACCTACGGCTCCACGGGGCTTAGCGAATACCAGGAAATCCGGCACGGGCTTCTGCGTGGTATACGCCACGGCCACCGATCGGCCGAAGCGCAACATGGAGGATCGCAGGTGGGGTGATTTCGTTTGTTAGGAAAAAACGGCATCGACGTAAACTTCTTGGTGCTCCGCGCGGATTACTTGGATCTGCGCTGGACCCCCTCTCTGGCGCGCGGAGCGCGCCAGGGGCGGCGCCGGAGGTGGCGCCAGGGGGCCCAGCGCGGATCCAAGAAATCTGCGCGGAGCGTCAAAAGTGTTATGTCTATGGCGTTTGTTCAGCTTCGACTGTTTTGTTGGTCGAATTCATGGGGCTTGCCGATTGTTGGTGCAGTAGGGGCCCGACCACAAGAAACCTTCCACAAGAAACACAACCCTGAGAACCCAAGTCGTCCATTGATTTTTGGTGTGGGAACGCCGCGCTCTCCACGGCAAAGCCATCGAAACCCAAGAAACCCAGGGCACCCTGGAGGCAAGCAGGGTGTTTCTTGGCATGGGTCCCCAGTGTAGATGGGGTCGGAGGATCGCGCCGCATCGCTAATACGTCGGCGATGCATCGCCTGCGTGGAAGATCGGGCTCCACCTCGAGCCGCATCGCCGATGCGTCGACGATGCGGCGCGATCCTCCGACCCCATCTGCTCGGACCCCATCCACGTCGCGCCTTCCACCGCAAAGCTATCGAAACGCAAGAAACCAACCCAGGGTTCCCTCGAGGCAATCACGGTGTTTCATGGCATGGGCCCCTCACGAGCGCGTTTATTTATTTTCGGCGATAGTGGGCATCATAAGGGTGGGTGAAGGGGGCGGGGGGGGAGTATAATGTAACGCCTCCCCCCCGCCGTGCGCACGGCGGCAGTGCCCCAAGCGCACTGGGGGCGGAGGGGCGTTACATTATAGAGGGGGGGAGGGGGGCCAGGGGCTATGATGCCCATTACGCCCCAAGCAGTAAAGAGACACGCTCTTTGGCATTGGGCCGCCCTCTGTATTGAGCAGGGAGCGACCGTCCTGGCACTCCTATAGTCCTACCACGCAATGTTCTTAGAACCCAAAAATGTTCCAAGAGCAAAAACGATGCCCCTAGAACACCGATGCGTGAAAACGAGACCATCTCCGCCAGAAATGTTCTAAGAACATGTCGTGGGAGCCACACAATGTCCTTAGAGAACATTGTTTGGTAGGGCTATAGGCACGCCGGGACGCCTCGCCACTGCTTGAGATCGGCAAAACGCTGAATAACAAACTATGGCCTTGGGGCTCGTGGCTTGGTGCCTGGCCCTCGGGGGCCAGTGCGTACTCTCGCTCGCAACCTTCACCGACGCCCTGTCCATCCCCCGCCCGCAGCGCGTGTACACCCTTCGCCAGGAAGAGGAGGAGCAGGAGGAGGAGGAGGAGGAGGAGGAAGGAGGAGGAGGAGGGGAGGAGGGAGGAGGAGAGGAGGAGGAGAGGAGGAGGAGGAGGAGGAGGAGGAGGAGGAGGAGGAGGATCGAGGATGAGGAGGAGGAGGAGGAGGAGGAGGAGGAGAAGGAGGAGGAGGAGGAGGAGGAGGAGGAAGGGGAGGAGGAGGAGGGGGGGGGAGGAGGAGGAGGCGGAGGAGGAGGAGGAGGAGGAGGAGGACTGCTGACTGCTTGACTGCAGCTCTGTGTGCGCGCTTCTCCCTCGCGCCCTCCTGCAGCCACGAGGGCTTCGAGCTCTCCGGCGGCCCCGGGCCGCCTCGGGGGGGGGGCGCGCGGGGCCCCGCCCGAGGCCCACCCCGCTCGCCGCTCACGCTGCCCCCGCCCCCCCCCCCCCAGGAGAGAGGAGGAGAGCTCAGGAGGAGGAGAGCGAGGAGAAGGAGGAGGAGGAGGAGGAGGAGGAGGAGGAGGAGAGCGAGGAGAGCGAGGAGAGCGAGGAGACGAGCGAGGAGGAGGATAGCTAGGAGAACGAGGAGGCGAAGTGGAGGAGGAGAACGAAGAGGCGGAGTGGGGAGGCTGCGTTTAGACGAACTCGCCAGCCACGAGGTGCCAGGTGCCGCCCCACTCAAACGCCCTTCTCGCTCACCGCCAACGCTGCCCCCACCCCCCAGGAGAGGAGGAACAAAAGGAGGATGCGAAATTCAAAGGAGGAGAAGGTACCCATACCGCTACCCTTCCCTCGTTTTTCCATGTTTGGCCGCCTGGGAGACCCTCGTCGCCACCGCTAGACTCGCCTCGAAATGCTGGTCAGAACGCAACCGGGGAGAGGTCTGGGGAGTAGCGGTATCGGTATCGGTATCGGTATGTTTCCCAAGGAGTGGAGGAAGACAACGAGGAGGGGAGCGAGGAGGCGAAGTGGAGGAGCAAGAAGAGGAGGAGGACGAGGGGGCGAAGTGGAGGAGGGGCAGGCGGAGGCGAATGGAGGAGAAGGGGGGTCCCCCCTTCCTGCTCCCCTCCCCGCCACGGGGGCCCGCTGCCCCTTCCCCACCCCCTCCCCCTCCCTGTTGAAGGGCTGCGCCCCACACAGGCCAACAGCGCTGCCACTGCTTCATCTCTCCAGGAGGCAGCCAGGAGCGTCGATCTTACTGCCCACCCAAGGGCTGCAGCCAAGAGGGCTCACTGGAGACATGTACGACGCTGCGTGAAGATACGACCCTGTCGCGTCGCCAAGCGACAGGGCGCACCCGCCGCCAAGATTGGCTCAGCCCAGCCCAGCGAGGCGTCCAGTTGTCGGGCATACGCAGGCATGGATTGGGGATCCGTGGCTCTGACGCGATGGCGCCAGACCCATGGATCGGGGAAAACATTCCCGAATCCTTAGGCCAGTGCCGCGTGACAAGGGAGACGGAGCACGCCGATTACGTGTGGAAGCGTGACTCTGTGCTAATCTAGATGAAGAAAAACCGGCACAAACATAAACGTTTGGCGCTCCGCGCGGACTTCTTGGATCTGCGCTGGGCCCCCCTCCCTGGCGCGCGGAGCACGCCAGGGGCGGCGCCGGAGGCGCCGCCAGGGGGGAACCGGCGCGGATCCTAGAAATCCACGCAGAGCGCCAAAGGTTGATGTGTGTGCAGCTACTTCTTCTTCTTTGAGCGACGGAGCACGCCGATTACGTGTGGGAGCGGGACCCTTCGCAAATCCACACGCCCGGCTTTATGTCGGGAGTGTCCCCCTACAGGGGGATTTTGGGCGAAAAATGCAAAATACTCAAACCATACCCCCCAAATACGAAAAAATAGTCAAAATCGTCCCCAGACTATTCTTTGACTATCTTTGAATATTCCCCCTATAGAGGGACACGCCCGATTTACGCCCGGCTCCATGTTTGCGCGTCCTCGAAGTTGACACCCTCCGATCTCGAGCAGCGCCCGAAGGCCGAGGGGTGCCGCGCCGCGCAGCCCGGCGCGCCGCCCCTGCCCGCCGCGCCGCGCCCAGTGCGCAGAACCGCGCCCGCCCGCCGCCGAGAGTGCATATGCGTATGCGTTTGCGCGTGCGTATGCGTATGCGTGTGCGTGTGCGTGTGCGTATGCGTATGCGCGTGCGCATGCGTAGGTGTACGCGGATGCGTATGTGCATGTGTGTTTGAATGTGTGTAGGTGTCTGTGTGTTTGCGTGTGTACGTATGTGTGTGTGTGCGTGTGTCTTCCCAGCTCTCCCCTGCTGCTGGGCCCCGTTCCTCTGGGCTGCGCCCAGCTTCTCCTTCCCTCCCTCCCGCTTCCTCCTCGGAGCTTGCCCCTTAGAGCATCGGGGCACGCCCCCTGCCGGCCCCGCGAGGAGTCTGGCTCTTCGGCATACTACACTCGCACGGGATTTTGCAAGTCGTACCCGACAGCTCCTTCGCGGGCGTTTCGAAGTTGACCCCCTTACGCGGATGTCCTGTCCTGTCCTGTCATCCTCGCTCTCTCCTCTTCCTCCGCCTCGCCTCCTCCCCCTCCTCGTGCTCTCCTCGTCCTCCCCCTCCTCGTTCTCTCCTCGTCCTCCCTCCTCTCGCCTCTTTCCCCTCGTCTTTGACTGGGGGGCTCTTGGGGATGGGCCTCAGGACCGCAGATCACCTTGGCCAAGAAGGGATCAATCCTGCTCCCGCACGGGCTTTCCCGTGTACGGATTCTTACCGTCCAGGATTCGATCACGATAGAGCTTCCGCCACCGATGGGCGGCAATGCCCTTCGTCAGAGGGCCCTCGCATTCCCGCAACAACTTCTGGGCTCGGGAACGGGCGAAAGCCCCACAAATTCGGCACACTGCATAACCCACCTTCTCAACCACATCGTGTTCCCGAGGTGGGGGCGGGGGTGAGACGCGGGACCCATACCCCCTCACCTCCGCAGCCCTCTCAGCCGCAGCGGCACGGATCTGGTCCGTCACACACCCACCATGGACCAGGGCCTTGACTTTCAAACGGGCCCTGCCTTTTGAAATGGCCCCCCCCCCATCCAGGGCACAACTCCCGCTTGGCCATACTGAGACGAGAGGCCACACGGACGAGGCGAGAGCACTCCAGGCATTGCCATCGACCACCTTCTAGGAGCCTAAAACGGTGGGCCCGCTCAGGCGCGACTGCCAAAGGGCGGGCAGAACGTTCGCTCCTCCGAGCCCGACCAGCAGAAGACGGCAGGCTCGTGGTGGTAGCTTTGGCTTCACTAAGATCCACACGGAAGGAGGCTGCATACTGTAACAGCCTCTTCTGAAATTTGAGACACTGCTGAACCAGTTCCACCTTCCACTTTGGGGCGGCATAGGGATCAGCTCCCTGTCTTGCACGAGCGTCCGCGCACCTATTCATATCAAAGTGCACAAGATTCTCACCAGAAAGACAGGCCCTTTGGGCCTTCGTCATGTGAGACTTTATCTTGACTACTTGAAGGGACTCTCCTGGGATGAGACACTGATCCTCCAGGGCATCCCAAACAAGCTTCCAAAGGTGCGCGGTCATCTGCTCGCTACTCACACAAAATTCTCGACCAGCCAAGAGCCCCTGAACGACCTGCTTACTATCCATCAGGAGCCCTACGAGCCCTACCGAGTGCTTTATGGCCTGGTACACTGCCCAGATCTCACAGTGGGCCGACGTGGGCCTCGCAACTGGGACAGCTCCGAACAAAGACTGAACCTCACTTTTCTTCTCCGCGCACCAGGTGATGGCGGCAAAGCCTCCCGTGGAGACCTCCTCCACGTCGGGGGCCAGGACGCACCCGTCCGTGGCCACCCAGCCCGACAGGACCATCTCCCCGTCGGGGTCGCCCCACTGGTACTCGTCGGGCGGCGTGGGCACCTGGTAGTCGGCCACGGGGTCCGCGATCAGACCGCGAGCCCATTTCCAGAAGAGCGTGTCGCCGCCCCTGCAGCCCTGCTCCTCCTTCGTGGCGGCCGTCTCGCCCAAATGCACCACGTCCCGAAAACTGTGCTTGAGCGTCGGCTCCGTGAGCCCATCACGAATCGTGACGCACACATCTGCATCACAAAGAAAATGCACATGCATCAAGGTGCCCTTCTTCTTGCCGCACAGAGGGCGCAGAGGGCTCGTGACCTGGCCGCGCTCGTAGCACACGGTCTGAACAGGGTAGCCTCCTAACGCGACCGTCCTGGCACTGTTGATGTGGTGCCTTGCCCAAGTCCCCGTGGGCTTGGAACGCATGAGCTGCTTGACTGGCAAGAGGAAGGGAGCGGGTCGGAGCGGCTGGCGTTCCTCATCCGCGAGCGCCCAATCCATGAGCTTCTTCTTTGCGATCGCCCTCTCTGCCGACCGCAAGATTTCGAGGGGGGCGACCTCACGGATGTCCCACTTGCAGTGCACGCCGTCGACGGTGGTCCAAGCGTCCTTCATGTGCCAACCCAGCTCGTGCACCGTCAGCATGGTGGCTGCGGCTGGCCCCCTCACCATCTTCCAGGCGTCGAACTTGGCGGGGGCATAGGTGAGGGCACGCTGCACCTTGGGCCATTGACGGCCCCACGCGTGGGCCATCTCCTTCCGTCTCTCGGGCTGATCCCAGGCCTCGCGTGCCCATGCCCGAAGCGGGGCGAGCCTGAGCTGCTCGGCGCCGCCAGTCCTCGGCGCGATCGCCCAGCCCAACGTGCCCGAACGAAAGGTCCCAGCCCCCGCACGCACAGCAGCTGTCTTGGCCATGACGAACTTGAGAACGGCAGGAGGTGTGCCAGCGCAGGTCGCCCCATACGCAACTGACGCTTTGAGGCCTTGCTGCACCACAGGGCGCATCCTCGCCCCTCGTCGCTTGAGGGCCGCCGCCTTGTGCCAGCGTCCTCGAACAGTCTTAAACCGTCTGGCTCTGGTGGCCTTCTTCCGAGGGCCCTGGGGTTGGTAGTCCACGCCCAGCCATCGCTCGCTCTCGCCGCGCTGAAGGCCAATGTCCGCCACGGGCTGAGCCAGCTCCTGCGCCAAGGAGACGTCGCTGGAGACGAATTTCGACTTGGCTCCCTTGCCCTTCGAGACCTTGAGCTGCAGCAAAGACTCCCGGAGGTGAATGAGGGTGCGGGCCAGGTCGGGGAAGATCACTTTCAGCTGTGTGCTCCTGCCCACCATCCGCAAGGCTAGGTCGTCCACAAACTCGGTGATCTCCAGCTTAGCACCTGGCCATCGGGCCACGACATCCAGTATCGGATACAACGCAATCTTCAGGAAGCGGTTGGCATACTTCGACCCAGCGGGCAGCCCCACGCAGGTGCATATGGCGTCGGCAACGGCTTGGCCCTTTCGTACCGCCCGAGGGAAAGCGCACGACTCCAGTGAGAGGGCCAAGACACTCATGGGTGCTTGCTGCACCAAACCGAGAACCCAAATCAAATTTAGCGCAACATGTTCGTACGCCTTCTCCAAATCCATCAAAGCTGTGAGTGACGCAAAACAGGTACCTTCCAGGGCCTCGTCGTCCAGCATCGCTCTCCAAACAGCATGCTCACTGCTGCGCCCTGGTGATGCCCAGTCGTAGGGCCTCACGTGTGCCCGCTCCCATCGCCGAACCAAAGGATCACGAACAGCCTCCCAGATGCGTACTGGCGTGGGAAAGAGGGTGATGGGCCTGCCGCCTCCGTCCCCCGTGGCGACCAGGAAAAGTATAAGCATGCGTATGGCCGTGGGCCACGAGCAGAGCCGCTCACACAACATGAGGATGTCCCCGAGGCTGGTCAAGGCCTCGTCACTGAGCCAGGCCAGGTGCCCGAAGTGCCAGCCGTCAAGCCCAAGCCCCGCCTTCCACTTGTAGCTGCGGCAAATTGCGCGCACCTGCACCGCGTCGATGATGGGCAGCTCCTGCACGTGGGCCATCCGCTGGGCCTGGACCTGGGCGCCCTGCCACAACTTGGTGTAGTCACCTGACCCCGCGCGCCAAATGCCAGCCCACTCATGCGCCTCCTGGTTGACCGCGAGCTGCGGATCCGATGGTAACTTCCGCTTCTTGGCCGACGAGATGGGCTCCTTCCACGCCTGCTTCCAGTGGCAGATGCGGTGCAGGTACCCCCCCGAGCCAGGGAACTTCGCACTCAGGGCTCGTAGAAACGCTTGGACCGCTGCCGCATGAGGTGTTGTTCCCAGGACTGGGCCCTCACCTTGGCGAACTGCTGCAGCGCGAAGATGGCCTGCGCGCCCATGAAATGGGGCCCCACGTCGGAGAGGATGCGCAGCGTGGGCAGGAACCCCGCGCCCCAGGGCCCCATCTGGTCCCAGTGGTGCCCCGCCTGGAACAGCTTCCTCCAAGCCCGTCTGAGCTGGCCCTTTACCTCCTCGTTGTAGGATCGAGGAGGCCCTTCTCCCGAGGTGGTGTTCTGGCCTGCAAAGGCCTCCGCCTTGGCCATGGACACAGACTGGCCCCGCAATGCACAGCAGACAAGTTGGCCTATCCAGGCCAGTTCTCCCGCGGCCCAGCGCCAGGCCCTGGCAGGACCTCGATCGGCCACTGGGCTGTCATGCTTCGGAAGAAGCTGTCTCTGCACCACCTCGGGAGTCAAACCTCGGCCTTCATACCTGCGTGCCTCCAACTCCGTCCAACCGAACAGAGATCGAAGCTCGGCCTCGGCTGCAGAGCAGAACCCCCTCCAGCACTGGTCCAGGTGCTGCTGGGAGCCGTGGAGCAGGTCGATCTTGGGGTAGCCATGCGGGATTTCGGGCTGCCTGACTGGCGGCGGCCTGGTGATGGGGTACTGCTTGGGGCCCTTAAGAACCTGTGTCTGGTACGCGTGCCAGGGCTTGTCGGCGCGGATCCAAGTCGGCCTGCGCGGCCTGTAGCGCATGTTCTCGAAAGACTTCACTGGGCAAAAGATCACTGCAAGCCTCGCATCTACCCAGAAAAAGTCGATGACCCGATCCTTAAACTCCTCGACGCCCTGCTTAACCACCTTGGACCTGCAAGTGTCTCCTTCCCCTTGCCAGGCCAGAACTTGGCCTTTAGCCTCCTGGTTCCAGGGGCTGTCCAGAGTGGCGTGCGGCTCATTGTTGAAGTCGCCCATGGCCACCCAGGGAATCTTCATCTGGCAGACCCAATGAACGATGGTGTCAAGCAGGGCCGCGTTCGGAGCCCAGGTGACTGGCTTGCCCGTGAACAAGTAAATCGAGAAGAGGGCCATCCACCCAATGCCCTTGACCTCGGCCATGGCCAAGCACAGCCTGCCTGCGGCGCCCGCGGGGGAGATGTCCCACGACGCCTGGCCAGGCGCCAGGCTGAGGCTCAGGCAGCGCGGCGTGATCAGCGCCACCCCCGCCGAGTGACCGCCCTCCGCCGCGCGCGCGGCAGGCGCCCCCACAACTCGCCAGCCACGTCGCTCTTGCGCCGCTGCGGTGACGTTGAACCACTCGGCTGGCTTCGCGTGCTCCTGTACCGCTATGATGGGGACGCCACCTCTCTTGATGATCTGCTCGATCTCTTCTTCCATGAACTCCTCGACTCGAGCCCAGGAGAGATTAGCATTGGAAGTGGCTGCGATGACGTGTCGGTCTCCTCGCCGCGTGCGTCGGCGCCTCTGAGGCTGCTCAGCTGGGTCACGCCCCACGTGCTGCGACCTGCCCTCGAGGCAGGTGGGCTGAGGAGTGATGGGCACGACGGGCGAAAGTCGCCTGTCCATGGCCGCGGGCGCGCCGTAGCCGACGTCCTGGCCAGAGTGCGCGTCCCCGCCGCCCTCAGGGAAGCCGACCCCGTGCGGCTCCTCGTGGTGGCGGTCCTCGCCCTTCCAGAACTGGCCGTCCCCATAGGTGGTCCAGTCGATCAAGGGCGGGCCAGTGGGCCCATCAAAGCGACGCCTGGGGGAGCGCCTCCTCGCCGTGATGGTCGTAGAAGGACCCCAGCACCGCCCGCTTGGCGGCGCGCTCCTCCTCGGGCAGCCCGCTGAGGTACTGGCCCACCAGCTCGTCACGCTTGCGCTTCTGCTCCTCCACTGCGTCACCATCGCCGTCGGCCGAGGACTCGGCAGTAGGCCCCCCTGGGGGCGCGGCCGCCGCCGCTGCGCCAGGCCCCCCAGGAGGCGCGGCGGCCGCATCCGCGGGGGCCCCTGAGGCCTGAGGGAGCTCCTTGACCAGCTTGAGCAAGCTCTGAAGGGACTCCACGAGTGGCTTGGGCACCGAGTCGCCGTCGCCCTCGGTGTCCCCCACCAACTTCTCCAGGTTGGCCACGAGCTGGCTGATGACCGCCTGCCCGCAGTGTGGGCCACCGCCGCGAGGACCCGCTGCCCCCGCAGGGGCCTGCTCCTCCGCCACGACTCGCCTGGCCAGTTGAGCCTTCTCCTCCTGCAGCTGCTCCAGCTCCTTACAGGCCGCCTCCTGCACCCGCTGGGCCTCTGCCAGGCGCTGCTGCAGCTCGGGCACGACCTCATCGCGCTGGCGCGCGAGCTTGCGCTGGGCGGCGGCCATCTTGCCCTCCAGAGCCTGCAGCTGAAGGTGCAGCGGCTTGCCTGCCCGCTTCTGGGCGACCAGACTTGCCCTCTCCGCCCGCTTGGCCTCGATGATGGGGCCGAGGCTGGGGTCGGCGAGGGACTCCAGCGTGCCAGTCGACGTGTCGAGCACTGAACTGAGATGGGGTCGGACGCCTCGGCGGCCTTTGACTTGAGCAGGTCCGTGCCAGCCCCGAAGTAGCCCCAAGCAGTGCCAGCAGCGCCGCGAGGAGCGGGGCCAGCCATGCCATTGTCCTTGCCCTTGTCCCCTTTCTCCTTGCCCTTGCCCTTGGCCTTGCCCCCAGCTGGGGGGTCAGCCCTCTGCCACGGTCGCCGCACCGGTGAGGAGCGGGAAGCACGCGTGATGGCCGCCTGGATGTGCTTCGGCGCGGGGGCGTAGCACTGGCGACACTGCATCTTGGTCGCGAAGTTGCCTCCTGTGCCACAGTGACCACACGTCCAGGGCTCGGCTCCCTGGAGCGAAGAAAAAACTGAAGCGATGCATCCTTCCACGGTGCCATCAAACACGTGTGGCTGGCAAAGAGGACGAGCTGGGCGATTGAGTATCGAGTGTGCCCTGACTGGTGATGTCAGGGAGAAAGCTGCTGGGGCCGTGCGCGCCGCTCGGGCGCCCCCCAATGCCAGAAAGTCTCCGTCCGCTGCTGACGCCTGGGCCACGCTACGGACTTGAGCCAAAATGGCTACGGGCCTTTTTCTCCTCGTCGTCCCCCTCCTCGTTCTCACCTCCTCTTCCTCCGCCTCGCCCTCATCCTTCTCCTCTGCCTGCCCTCGCCGACGCCGGCCAGCCCACCCCTCGCACGCTTCTGGCCCCTCAAAAGAGAGCTCCTCTGATACGGCCCCAGCCTAAACGGCTCGCATGCCGTCCTCTCGCAAGATCTCGGCACGACACAGTTCGCGTGCCGCCCCCCCCCCGCCAATGTCGGCACGCCAATCATGCTGATCGTGCCCCACAGGGCTCCACCTGCGCTCCCAGCGACACAGGTCGCATGCCATCCTCCGCCCAGTTCGGACCCCCTCATGCAGATCGTGCCCCACAGGGGTCGCAGGGGATTCAGCGCGCCTCTGAGCGCTTTCTTCGCAAGCATCCCAAAATGAAGAGCTAAACTCAAAACACCGACGCTTTTTCCGGCCCCGCATTGAAACTCGCACAGGAAAGAGGATCCTGGTGTATACGGGATCCTGGTGTATACATTTTTCGTTGCTTCCCCGGGAAAGCGGGGAAAAGAGTATACACCACACAACCCCGACGTCGTCCCAGACCCTTGAAAAGTCCCGGGATTGAAAAACAGCCCGCCACTGGTACATGTTGGTCGGACGAAGTAGGGAAAAATATTGAGTAGGAAGGCGGATCAAGTAGATTGGGTTTAGGCCCGCCCAGAAAATTACAGAACACAATAGAAGTACATCGATCCTTGAAATGGGAAGGCGCTTGAAACATATTACTTTCAACGACCGGCGTGTACTGTATCTGCTCCAGCTTCTAAGACACATCGGGGGCGCGCACGCATGGATTAGCGACCCATGGGTTTGGCGCGCGGTCGCCAAATCCATGGATCGGAGGAGGTGCCCTCCCCCAAGTGCGGCCAGGGCCGCCTCGCGCGACGGCGGAAATTCGCGGTTTCCCATGGAAACAGGGCCCGTCGCTGATCCACGCCTCCTTGATCCATGTTTGCGATCGCCTGATCTTGCGAGTCGTCCTCAAGTCGTCCTCAAACTCGGGGTTCGAGATTCTCCCGGCCAGCCCCAGGGATCAGGGGCAACGATAGGAGGGGATAGGACTAGGGGGGGACGCATCGACTCCCGAACGCCCACGGATCGCCGATAGGGGCCCGATAGCCCCAACCTGCCCAGGAAGGTGCGGATTCACTGTCGGAGGCCCATCGCCGATCTATCGGCGACGTGTCGGCGATTCCAGGTCGATGCATCCCCCCCTTATTTTGGACGCCCGAAGTCGGCACGGAAAAAATTGGCACCATACCCAACAACAGATGTTGTCCCAAATCAGCAGCGGCCGCTGTTGGGCAGGCGGCCTTCTGTCACAAATGGACACAGGCCGCGGCGACACCGACAGGGAGTCCTGTTCAAAATGCACAGGAACCGCTTTTGGGCATTGTGCCCATTCGGGAGCGGCCAAGAGGGGAGTGTCCAAGAGGGGGGGGTGCAAATCATGACTGGCGGCATGTGCGCGGCCCAGCGGGGGGGCCAGGGACGTAATGAAATAAGAAGAGGCACCAGAACATCTGGGAATATCATGGCCCCCGCCATGACATCCACCCCCCCCCTAGTCATCACTCCCCTCTTTACCGCCCCCGATCCATTCTTTCCGTACCCAGTTCGTTCGTGCCGACCTGTGCCAGGGTCCCCCCTGCGAGGCGGGGATTGATTATATCCACCGCCTGGGAAACGACGCCCTGGTGCCCCAGCGGGCGGTGCACATGGAAATGTTTCGGCCCCTTGGGGGCCCGAATGTGTCCGTATCCACCGCCTGCCGAGGCTCCGAAAACTGACCCTCCAGGCGCTGGTCATGGACAAACTCCCGCCTCGGACCCCCCCCCAACGCTGCCGCTCCAGGGATCGGCTAGCCGTAAGAGTGACCCTGGGTAAGAGTGACCTTTGGTGCGCAGCTTTGGGGGGCGCGAGGGAGCCAGACCCAAGGGCGCGGGCCGCTTACATCGCATCGCGCTCGGCGATCGGGGGGAGCCCGATGAGCCTCGGGGATCTTCTGACCCGGGTCAATCCAGACCCAGGTCAGCAGGAAACCAACAACTGCAATGCAGGAACAAAAAAAACTGCAACGCAGATCTTCGCAAACCCGGGTCAGCCAATATGCGCGGCCGCCTCGCGGCCACGAGCGACTCGCTAACCCAGGTCAGCCAGAGGGGGTCTTCGCAGGATCCTGCAGGATCTGGTGCCCTGGCTGACCCCCGTTTGCATTGACCCCCGTCTCAACGCTCCCGAGAGCCCGCACCAGAGGTCACTCCGGCGAAAGGTCACTCCCGCACCAGAGGTCACTCCGGCAGAGGCCCCCCCCCCCTCGCCCCTCTTCAAGCGAATACTAGCGTGCAAGTGCCTTTCGACTTGCGTGATTTCCGCGCCCCCCCCCCCCGGGCTTGCTTCAGGCTCAGCCCCCCCCCCGTCCATGAAAGTAAACTTGCCAGAGTCTAAAAAAAAAACAAACTCTCTTGCGTGTAGTCGAAGGGAGTGCGGCCGAGAGCTCCCCACACCCCCCCCCGGGCCCCGAGGCCCAGCGACCCCCACCAGGGGCCCGCCGCGCGCCGCGGCGACGGGAGGGCACCGGCGCATGACGCGGCAGGCGGGCGCACTGTTCGGCTCGACTTCCGGGGGGGGGAGGGCCAGGCAGGGGCAGGGGGGGGGTCCTCCTCCTCCTCCTCGTCCTCCTCGTCTTCCTCCTCCTCCTCGTCCTCCTCCTCCTCCTCCTCGTCCTCCTGGTCCTCCTGGTCCTCCTGGTCCTCGTCCTCGTCCTCGTCCTCCTCCTCCCTCTCCCTCCTCCTCCTCCTCCTCCTCCTCCTCCTCCTCCTCCTCCTCCTCCTCCTCCTGCTCCCCGAGCCATGGAGTGTGCGCAAATTTCAGGCGATCGCAAACATGGATCACGGGGGCGTGGATCAGCGACGGGTCCCGTGTCCATGGGGAGGAAGTAGAGGCCTCCTGGATGGGGTCGGAATAGATGCATCGCCAATACATCGGCGATACATCGCCGATGCATCGGCGATGCCGGCGACGCCAACGTCGAGAAAATCGGGCTACACATCGAGCCGCATCGGCGATGCATCGACGATAGGGCGCGATCCTCAGACCCCATCTACTCGGACCCCACGAAGCCTAGAGGAAGGCCGCGGGACCGCCGGGCCTTCCAAGAAGCTCCGCCCCTTCTCGCGTGGGGGGGGCGGGGCTGCCCTGCTTTCCCCGATGCCCGCGGGTGCCCCGCAGCGACAAGTGCACGGGTATAGAATTTGGTCGGGCATGTCCTCCTACAGGCGGATTCTGGACGACAAATAAGTTAGCCTGGCGAAGGACCAAACCATATGCAGTTGTGAATACCGTCGTTGTTAGTATCGTCTTCGGTGGATCTCCTTATGGGGCCACGAAACGCGTGAACAGTGTGCCGACGGGCCGGCATGAGGGCGCTGCTACTGGGGCCTGGTGAAGACCCCCTTTGATGGGGCCACAAAAACTGTGAGGGATGTGCCGAAATGGGGCGGGGACGCCATGCGCGCGCTGCCACTGGGGCCTTCGGTGAAGTTCCCTATGGGGCCACGAGCCGTGAAGGAGCGAGCGGCGATGATGGCGATGAAAATAACAAATCGCAGGGCCTTAGCTGGAGCCCACTATGGGACCACGAAACGTGTGAGAGGTGTGCGACAGTCGGGCGGCGCCGCCATGCGGACCGGGCCACTGGGACCTTAGGTGGAGCTCCCTATGGGGCCACGAAACGTGTGAGGGCTATGACAGAATCGGGCGGCGCCGCCATGCGGACTGCGCCACTGGGACCTTAGGTGGTGCTCCCTATGGGGCCACGAAGCGTGTGAGCGGTGTGCCAAAGTCGGGCGGCGCCGCCATGCGGACTGCGCCATTGGGACCTGAAGTGGAGCTCCTTATGGGGCCACGAAACGTGTGACGGGTGTGCCAAAATGGGCGGCGCCGCCATGCGGACTGCGCCAGTGGGTCCCTAGGTCAGAGAGAACGCGTTTCACGGACGCTCGCCTTGGGAACATTCGGCGGCGCGTTTCGAACCGGGGGAGTGGGCCCCCCCCAACACTCGGCGCCGTCGGTCACAACCAAGGGGACTCCGCTCCCCCCCAAACCCCCGCCCTCCCGAAACCCCTCCCCCCCACCCATTCCCAAGAGGGGGTGGTTCAACCCCCCCCCCCCGGCGCCGGCGCCGGCGGCCGCCAGCAGCGCCTACGGCGGGGACGCAGCGACGACGACCAGAGGCAGCCCAAGGGGAGGGGGGGGGGTTCAACCCCTCCCCCCACCCCTGGCGACGGCGGGGACGCAGCGACGATAACCACCACGACCACCACCACCACTACCACCACCACCACCGCCTCAACCCACCACCACCAACAACCCACCACACAACCACCACCACCACCAC